CCTTTCTTTTTCCCCCTTTGTCTTTCCTCTCTCCATTCCTTTCTTCCCTTCCTTCTCTGTTTCCTTCCTGCTTTCCTCCTGGTTGATGTTTAGCTGGGAGAAGAGAAGGTAGAGAGGGAACATGAGAACCATGTTTCAAGATTTTTAAGGGTGTCCCGTTGAGGAAGAAAAAGAGGGGGAAAACTGACTTTCTGTTGCTCTAGAGACCAGGGCACTAGGGAGAAATGGGTTCAAATGGTGGGGAAAGAGAGACGACTGAAAAGATGAAGAACTTCCTGAGAGTAAGAGCTGTTGGACAGTGGCCCAGGCTGCCTCGGAGTGTGGTGCAATCTCCTTTTTTGTAGGCTTTACCACAGAGGCTGTCTATCGGGAGTGCTTTGATTGTGCCTTCCTGCATGGCAGGGGGTTGGACTGGATGGCTCTTGGAGGTCTCTTCCAGCTCTAGGATTCTATGGAGTAGACAATATGAGTTCCAATGCATATTATTTATTTGTTTGTTTGTTTGTTTACAGTATTTATATTCCACCCTTCTCACCCCACAGGGGACTCAGGGCAGATTACAATGCACATATACAGGGCAAACATTCAATGCCATTTAGACATACAACATATATAGACAGACACAGAGGCAATTTAATATTCCAGCTTTCCGGTTTCATGAGGTTATGCTCGATTCCGGCCACAGGGGGAGCTAACACTTCACCGTCCACTTGTGACACAGAGTCCTTGATGGAGTACTTTCTCATTCTTACGCACGCTGCTGGAAGGTTTTATGGTGTCATAAATTAGTTAAATTAGCCTCCCCGCATAAAGCGGTACCTAAATTTCCTACTTGACAGATGCAACTGTCTTTCGGGCTGCATAGGTCAACAGCAAGCTAGAATGTTAATGGTTGGGAGCTCACTCCAACTCAGGCTGGCTTCGAACTCATGACTTCTCATACAAAACAAGCATACACTTTTTATTTTCTGCCCATCATCTCTTTCTGACCAAGGCTAACCCTTTTGGGATCCAAATGTTTTCTGTCTTTTCTTCACTTTCTGCCTCCGAAAGAGAAGAGGAAGGGGAGGAAAGGGCAGGGAGGGGACTTGGGGAGAAATCCCTCCCTCCTGACCTGCCCACCTTGCTCCGGCCTGCCTCGTGGCCCCCAAGTTAAAAGGTTTACCTATGCCTGGACTAAGGCCTTCTCACACTGTGAGGTCTTCTCACAGACTGAGGCTTTTCTCCCACTGAGGCAAACCAACATAGAGGCCTACTCAGTGACAGGCACACTTGTTTATATAAAACTGCAGCTTTTGCTGAGTCATTCTGTCCATTTAATCCTTTTGTTGCTTTACTCATATTTTGTAATTAAAAATACTTAGTTTTTAATATTTCTGATAAATTCAGCATCGTTTCTGGGGTTGAATGAAGTTTCTGGGCTAGAACAACAACTCTCAAAGTAAGGACCGCACAATTAAACAGGAAACAACACTTTCAAACTAGGAACAGATTTTTTTTTCAAATGTTATGTAGTGTAATAATCTCTTTTCCGATTCAAACAATGCCAGGAAACAGTTGGCAGAATTCCCTGTTTTTGAGGAAAGGGAAGTCCCTTTGTGCTTGGAGGAAGAAGGCTGGTTTCCATGCCTGGATCTCCTCTTTCTCCTCCTCTTCCCCTTTCTTCTTCTTTCCCAGGCCGACCAAAGAGAAGGGTCGGGCCCCGCAACCCGGAGGGGCCCCCAGTGTTGGGGCCACGGTGGGGACCCCCCTCCAGCACTCTTTCCTCACCGACGTCTCGGACGTCTACGAAATGGAAGGCGGCCTCCTCAACCTTCTCAACGACTTCCACTCCGGGAAACTCCAGGCTTTCGGTGAGTGGACCCGGAGGACCAACAAAAGGGCTCTGGAACACTTTATTTTACATTTAAATCATATATTGAGACACTATATATTGGTGGTGGGGGGAGAGAAAAGCGAATCTCTTTACAAAGTGTACTTATGCCTCCCAAATGTGTCTTTTGCTCTGTTTCCTCACCCTCTGTCTAGTTGGGGGTTTCTTTTAGCAGGATTAGCGCTGGGAGGATTCTGAAGGGAAGCACAGCCTCACGATGCAGTAAACAATGCACTAAAGCAGGCATGGGCCAACTTTGGCCCTCCAGGTGTTTTGGACTCCCAACTCCCACAATTCCTAACAGTCGGTAGGAGTTGCAGTAAACCGTGCAATAAAGCCTATTTGTGGTCAACAGTGCAATAGAGCAGTTGCAACTCTGAAATGCATTTTAAAATATTGAATTATATATATGTATATTGAAGTACTTCTATAAAGCCTCTGAGAAGGAAATAGAATAAAGCAGGTTTGCGGTAATAAATGCAATATTATTTCCATTATTTTTTGTGTGTGTATATATATATATATATATATGAGAAAAGCAAGACAAGCAATATACAGTATATATATACACACACACATATATAATTTAATTAATATTGTACAAAGCCTCCGAAAAGGAAACACAATAAAGCAGATTTTCAGTAATAAATGCACTAGTATCATCATAATGGTGGCACAATGAGTTAAACCCTTGTGCTGGCTGAACTGCTGACCATTAGGTCAACAGTTCGAATCCAGGGAGCGGGGTGAGATCCTGTCTGTCAGCTCTAGCTTCCCATACAGGGACATGAGAGAAGCCTCCCAAAATATGGTAAAACATCAAACATCCGGGCGTCCCCTGGGCAACATCCTTGCAGACAGCGCACACCAGAAGCGACTTGCAGTTTCTCAAGTTGCTCCTGACACCATATATATGTGTGTGTGTGTGTGTGTGTGATTATAATAGTATATATTTTATTATTGTATTATTTCATTCATATATAATGGAGACCCCGGTGGCGCAGTGGGTTAAACCCCTGTGCCGGCAGTACTGAAGACCGACAGGTCGCAGGTTCGAATCCAGGGAGAGGCAGATGAGCTCCCTCTATCAGCTCCAGCTCCTCATGCAGGGACATGAGAGAGGCCTCCCACAAGGATTATAAAAACATCAAATCATCCAGGTGTCCCCTGGGCAACGTCCTTGCAGACGGCCAATTCTCTCATACCAGAAGCGACTTGCAGTTTCTCAAGTCGCTCCTGACACGATAAAAAAAAATTCACACACACACATATATATGAAAAGCAAGACAAAGGCAATGTGATATACACACACATATACACACAATGGAGTCTCACTTATCCAACATAAATGGGCTGGCAGAACACTGGATAAGCAAAAATGTTGGATAATAAGGAGGGATTAAGGAAAAGCCTATTAAATGTCAAATTATGTTATGATTTTACAAATTAGGCACCAAAACATGTTTTACAACAAATCGACAGAAAAAGAAGTTCAATACACAGTAACGTTATGTAGTAATTACTGTATTTACAAATTTAGCACCAAAACATCGCAATGTATTGAAACAGCTCTGGATCCGGGCAAGAGGCAGACTGTGTTGGATAATACAGAACGTTGGATGAGCAAAGGTTGGATAAGTGAGACTCTACTGTATATGAATTAAAAGAAAGACAACACCAATATATTGTATAGAGATACAGATATGTCACTTTTGTCTCTTGATTGAGACACAGAGCAGCTCACAATATATTTTTAAAGTGCAATTTCAAATCCACAACATTGAAATATTAAAAGAGAACTAAACAAACCACTCCATTAAAACCCTTTAAAATATTTATTTCAATTTTTTTTTAAAAAAATAAAACATACAGTAAACCATGCAATCGGGTTTCAGCAGAGAAAAATCAGAATAAACTTCAGTCAATCCTATTGGACCCTTTGTATAATTACAGATATATAATAGTTTAGGTAAAAAAGGTAGCTGATCCAGAGTGGCTGAGGATGCAAGAAAAGGGAAGGGGAAAAAAGAGACTGCGAGCTCCTACGATGGGGATGGGAGAAAGGTGGGATAAAAAAATAAGGAAAATAAGATTAAAAATAAATAAGGTGAATAAGATGCAGTAAGAAATTGCAAAGGCCAATGTTGTCCTCATTCTCCTGCAGGGAAGGAGTGCTCCTTTGAGCAGCTGGAACATGTGCGGGAGATGCAGGAGAAACTGGCCCGGCTGCACTTCAGCCTCGACGTTTACGTGGAGGAACTGGCTGAGGATCAGAAGAAGACTGCGGCTGACCGGAACCTGGACCAGCTGCTGACCAATGTGAGACATCCTGGTTCTCTCCTTGGGTGCCTCTGCTTTGTGGATGGCTATAGTTAAAGCAAACATACAACCAGAATGAGTATTGTGTGGTTTCCGGGCTGTATGACAGTGTTCTAGTAGCATTTTTTTCTGACCTGTCTTCTCCATCTGTGGCTGGCATCTTCAGAGATTTGATGGTGGTCAAGCAAATGGAGTATATATCCCTGTGGAATGTCCAGGGTGGAGGAAAGAAGCATTGTCTGTTAAATAAGCCTCAAGGGTGCAATTAATTATAAATATAATATTTTTAATATTATAATGTAATACAATATAATGTGCCCCCGGTGGCGCAGTGGGTTAAAGCACTGAGCTGCTGAGCTTGTTGACTGAAAGGTCGCAGGTTCGATTCTGGGGAGCGGCGTGAGCTTCCGCTGTGAGCCCCAGCTTCTGCCAACCTAGCAGTTTGAAAACATGCAAATGTGAGTACATCAATAGGTACTGCTCCGGCGGGAAGGTAACGGCGTTCCATGCAGTCATGCTGGCCACATGACCTTGGAGATGTCTACGGACAACGCTGGCTCTTCGGCTTAGAAATGGAGATGAACACCACACCCCAGAGTCGGACACGACTGGACTTAATGTCAGGGGACAACCTTTACCTTTACCTTTTACAATATAATACTAATAATAGGAGCCCCCAGTGGCGCAGTGGGTTAAACCCCTGTGCCGACAGGACTGAAGACCAACAGGTCGCAGGTTCAAATCCGGGGAGAGGCAGATGAGCTCCCTCTACCAGCTCCAGCTCCTCATGCGGGGACATGAGAGAAGCCTCCCACAAGGATGATAAAACATCAAATCATCCGGGCGTCCCCTGGGCAATGTCCTTGCAGATGGCCAATTCTCCCACACCAGAAGTGACTTGCAGATTCTAAAGTCTCTCCTGACACAACAAAAAAAATACTAACAATAATATTACAATATTATAACTATATATTTTATACTACATGTAATATTACTAATTTATAATACAATATTTTATATTACTGAGACCCCAGTGGCGCAGTGGGTTAAACCACTGAGCTGCTGAGCTTGTTGACCGAAAAGCTTGCAGGTTCAAATCCAGGGAGCGGCATGAGCTTCCGCTGTCAGCCCCAGCTTCTGCCAACCTAACAGTTCGAAAACATGCAAATGTGAGTAGGTCAATAGGTACTGCTCCAGCGGGAAGGTAACGGTGCTCGCAGTGATGGTCTACGGACAATGCCAGCTCTTTGGCTTAGAAATGGAGATGAGCACCAACCTCCAGAGTCGGACATGACTGGACTTAATGTCAGGGTAAAACCTTTACCTTTACCTTATTTTATATTACATGTAATATTACTAATAATATTACAATATAATGGTATAGTACAATATAGTTATATATATATATAATACTGATATTGTACTATGCTAATAATATAATATATTGTATGTATGTATATCTTGTAAACTGCTCTGAGTCCCCTTCAGGGTGAGAAGGGCGGCATATAAATGTCATAATAAATAAATAAATAGGAATCATASAATCCTACGGTTGGAAGAGACCTTGTGGGCCATCCAGTCCAACTCCCTGCAAAGAKGCAGGAAAATCACATTCAAAACATCCCCAACAGATGGCCATCCTGCCTCTGCTTAAAAGCCTCCAAAGAAGGAGCCTCCACCACACTCTGGGGCAGAGAGTTCCACTGCTGAACAGCTCTCACAGTCAAAACGTCCTTCTTAATGTTCAGGTGGAATCTCCTTTCCTATCGTTTGAAGCCGTTGTTCRGCGTCCTAGGGCAGCAGAAGATAAGCTTGCTCCCTCCACCCTATGACTTCCCCTCACATATTTATATATGGCCATCATGTATCCTTTTCAGCCTTCTCTTCTGAAGGTTAAACATGCCCAGCTCTTTAAGCCGCTCCTCATAGGGCTTGTTCTCCAGTCCCTTGATCATTTTAGTCGCCCTCCTCTGGACACATACCAGCTTGTCAATATCTCCCTTTAATTGTGGTGCCCAGAATTGCACACAATATTCCAGGTATGATCTAACCAAGGCAGAATAGAGGGGTAGCATTACTTCCCTGGATCTAGACACTATTGATGCAGGCCAAAATCCCATTGGCTTTTTTTGCCGCCGCATGACATAGCTGGCTCATTGGCAAGTCTCATTTGCAAGTATTTGAGTGGAATCCACCCATTAGCATGTGAGTAACCATGAAGACATCATAGTCAATTAGTGAGGGCATCTGCATAGAAGTCGCCAGGCCTTTGTTCCCTTTGAATTGTCTGCTGCCTGGAGACATCCTTTGTCTGGGTGGTGTTCATTAGTCACCGTCTTGAGTCTGGTGTTTTTCAATACTGGTAGCCAAATTTTGTTCATTTTCATGGTTTCTTCCTTTTTGTTGACGTTGTCCATGTGCTTGTGGATTTCGGTGGCTTCTCTGTGTATTTCCCTTAAACTGATTTTGTTTTAACTTGTTCAGTTGTTTCAAATTGTTTTCGTCAGTTTAATGTTATAACTTTGCATTTCTTGCATTTGGCCAAATTGAATGTACTGTATAGATCCAAGTGTTTTGTGATTTCCCTTATTCAACTTTGTTGTTCATAATGTATTCTCTTTGGTTTTGCAGCTGGAGGAACTCAGTAATTCCATGTATCCTTGTTGAAGAAGTTAATAGTTTCTTATAATGCCTGAGACAAACGGAGAAGGAATGGATTTTGGCTCAGTGGGGAGGAGGTTAGGGTGCATCTACACTGCAGAATTAATGCAGTTTGGTGCCGCTTTAACTTCCATGGCTCAGTGCTATGGGATCTTGAGAGCCTGATGCCCCCTTCAACACTGCCATATAATCCAGATTTTCAAAGCAAATAATCCACATTATCTGCTTTGAATTGGATTATATGAGTCTACATCTATATAAATAAAAACGTAATGTTCATTTGTGGAATTAACAGAACTAAAAGAACCACTGGACGAATTGACACCAAATTTGGACACAAGACACCTAACAAACCAATGTATGTCCTTCACTAAAAAAAAAAATGATTTTGTCATTTGGGAGTTGTAGTTGCTGGGATTTATAGTTCACCTACAATCAAAGAGCATTCTGAACCCCACCAACGATGTCATTGAACCAAACTTGGCACACAGTTCTCCCATGACCAACAGAAAATACTGGGTTTGGTGGGCATTGACCTTGAGTTTGGGAGTTGTAGTTCACCTACATCCAGAGATCACTGTGGATGCAAACAATGATGATCTGGACCAAACTCTACACAAATACTCAATATGCCCAAATGTGACTGGTGGAGTTTGGGGGAAATAGAACCTTGACATTTGTAGTTGCTGGGATTTATAGTTCACCTACAATCATAGAGCATTCTAAATCCCACCAACGATAGAATTGGGCCAAACCTCCCACACACAACCCTCATGTGGGCCACAGCAATGCGTGGCAGGGGACAGCTAGTTATCATATAATCCAGTTTAAAGAAGATAATCTGGATTTTATATAGTAGTGTAGAAAGGGCCTAAGATATACAAGGCCTTTAGGCTTCTTTGCCCAAGAGTGCTATTGCCTCATCAAACTACAGATCCCATAGTATTGAGCCAGGCCTTTAGAAATGGTATCAAACTGGGTTGATTGTACAGTGTAGGTGCACTCAATATCTCATCAAGCTACAACTCCCAGGATCCCATAGCATTGAGCCATGGAAGCTCAAGTGAATCCCTATGGGGGAAAAGGTGGAATATAAATAATAATAATCACAATAATAATAGTAAGACATTCTTCTTAGCAGTTTGAAAATGTGCAAATGTATGCAGATCAGTAGGTACTGCTTCTGTGGGAAGGTGATGGCACTCCATGCAGTCATGCCGGCCACATAACCTAGGTGGTGTCTACAGACAACGCCGGCTCTTCAGCTTAGAAATTAAGATGAGCACCACCCCAAGAGTTGGACATGACTAGACTTAATGTCAGGGGAAACCTTTACTTTTACTATGACCTTCTTCTGCCAAAAGGTATTTGAGGAAGGATAAGGCGCAGGCTTTGGGAAGGTTTGGTGGGTTTGGGCGGGGGTTAAAAGGCCATTTTAAGTGTATTTATTGCATTTTAATTCTGTTTTTACCAAATTGTTACTATTTAATTGTTTTTGGTTTTTTTACTTTTTATTGCACTTTTTAAACTTCGCTAATGTGGGATCATTAGCCGCCTTGAATTCCTATGGGGAGAAAGGTAGGGTATAATAAATAATAATAATAATAATAATAATAATAATAATAATAATAATGTGGTATCCCAGAATCCCATAGCATTGAGCCATGACAGTTCAAGTGAGTCCCTATGGGAGAAAAGGTGGGATATAAATAAATATAATAAATATAATAATAATAACATCAAACTGGGTTAATTCTACAGTGTAGATGCATTCAATAGCTCACCAAGCTACAACTCCCAGGATGCCATAGCATTGAGCCATGGCACTTCAAGTGAGGCCCCTTTCACATAGCTGTATAAAATCCACATTGAATTGGATTATATGGCAGTGTGGACTCAATAATAATAATAATCATCATCATCATCTTTATTTTTATCCTGCCCCATCTCCCCGTGGGGACTCAGAGTGGCTTACAACAATATGAACAATGCAAACAATAAACAGTAATATAACAAATAACCAGTTTAAAATTAACTCAACAAAATAACAACACAAAATGGATATATAAGTGAAGCAAAACATATTAAATTGACACAAAACCATAATCTACAAATAAACCAAAATCTATATAAATAAAAATGTAATGTTTGTTTGTGGGATTAACAGAACTCAAAAACCATTGGGGGAATTGACACCAAATTTGGACACAAGACACCTAACAACCCAATGTATGTTCTTCACTCAAAAAAATTGATTTTGTCAGTTGGGAGTTGTAGTTGCTGGGATTTATAGTTCACCTACAATCAAAGAGCATTCTACACCCCATCAACGATAGAATTGAACCGAACTTGGCACACAGTTCTCCCATGACCAACAGAAAATACTGGAAGGGCTTGGTGGGCAGTGACCTTGAGTTTGGGAGTTGTAGTTCACCTACATCCAGAGAGCACTGTGGACACAGTACTCCATGACCAACAGAAAATACTGAGTTTTCTGACGGTCTTTGGTAACCCCTCTGAAACCCCCTCGCAACCCGCCCAGGGGTCCCAACCCCAGGTTAAGAAACACTGCGGAATCTCCACTAACAATGGAATTGAACCAAACTTGGCACACAGAACTCCCACAACCAAACAAAAATACTGGTTTTGGTGGGTGCTGACCTTGAGTTTTGGAGTTGTAGTTCACCTACATCCAGAGATCACTGTGGACTCAAACAATGATGGATCTGGACCAAACTCTACACAAATACTCAGTATGCCCAAATGTGAACACTGGTGGAGTTTGGGGAAAATAGGCCTTGACATTTGGGAGTTGTAGTTGCCAGGATTTATAGTTCACCTACAATCACAGAGCATTCTGAACCCCATCAACGATAGAATTGGGCCAAACCTCCCACACAGAACCTCCATGTGGGCCACAGCAACACATGGCAGGGGACGGCTAGTCTATACAAATTAAAATGTAATGTTCATTTGTGGGATTAACATAACTCAAAAACCACTGGACGAATTGACACCAAATTTGGACACAAGACACTTATCAGGCCAAGGAGTGACCATCACTCATAAAAACATGGAAAAACACAGCAGGAGAGACTTAAAAAGCCAAAAAACAAAAATTACATTACAACACATGCGCAAAACCACATATACACATATTCACAAATATATACACACACAAAACACACATACACAGGCAGCTACAGCAACGCGTGGCAGCGGACGGTTAATTATGTTATATAAAAGCAATTTCAAGGTAACCCAGTTCTGTGTGGAAAGAGCCTTAGTTCCTATGGGGGGGAAAGTAATATATAAATAAAGATGATGATGATGATGATGATGATGATGATGATGATGATAATAATGGAGTATCAAATTGCATTAATTCTACAGTGTAGATGCAAATTAATGTTTTCCCTTAACGTGATGATGCTTCAGACAGAAGCTCCACTTGGCAGAAAACCCCGACTTGGAAGATGCAGCTGCTGTCTAGAAAAAGAGATCCGCCAGATCCTCCTTTCTCCCTTTTTTCCATCTCAAAATGGAAAGGGGCCTAGCAAAAGGCTCCCACACCATTTGGGAGGCCAGGCTTTGCAAAGCACGGCTTTGGCATTCAAAAGGACCCATGGCGAGGACAATCTGGGGAAAAAGCTAACTCTGGGGCCAAGTAAATGGGGAGAGATCGGAAATCAATGAATCTGGAAGAGACAATTACCTGGAAATATAGGACAAAAATGGTCTGGCCTGGACCATGCCGGATTGCTTTGAGATCATGTGCCAAAAAGAAAGTTCTCTGTTACACAATGCAGATAGAGCAGTTTCTGTTGATCCTTGGGATATGTAGTTTGCAAGGATCAGGGAGGAATCTCTGTTAGAGAGTTCAAAATGTTCAATCTTTGGCCTTCCAGACTTTGGCTGGATCTACTCTTTCACTGCCCTACAGATATGCACAATGCAGACAGAGCAGTTTATGTGAAACCTTGGGATTTGTAGTCCGTCAAGAGCCAGGGAGGAATCTATTGGAGAATTTTAATACATAGGTTTTCAATCATTGGTCTTCTGGTGGGATCTACCACTTGAACTGCCATGGCTCCATGCGATGGAATGAAGGGATTTGTAGTTTCACTCGATCTTTTGCCTTGTCCGTCCAAGAATGCCGATGCCTTACCAAACTACAACTCCCAGGATTCCATAGCACTGAGTCATGGCAGCTCAAGTGGGGTCCAAGTGTATAGATGCACCTCAAAAACGCTGCCATTGAGTAAGCATCCCTTAGCAGAACTACAAATCCCAGGATTCAATGAAATGAAGTGCAATTGAACTGCTGTAATCTGTGCAGTGTAGAAATATATTCTGAGTAAAATGTATTCTTTGGAATCTGGCTTCCCTTTGACTGTCTCTGCAGCTGCTCATTTTCTTCCGAACCTGCTTTGCTTTGTGTTTGTGTGTGTGTGTGTGTGTGTGTGTGTGCAAAAAATGGCAAAACATTAATTGAATGGCTGGCCTTTCCCTGCCTGACGAGAGTATTTCCAATCTCCAAATTTAATCTCCAAATATCCAGTAATATCAATAGAACAAGATGTGACCCCAATATTCCCATATTTTGGGGCATGGGCTCTCCCTAAAGACAGAAATGTGCCTGTCATTTGAATGATTAACGTGGGAAATGTATTATTACTCTTCCATAAAAATGTAGTCAATTTTAAACTGTGGATTTTAGACATTCATTTAATTTGTCTGCATGATTGTAATGTATTGGTTTTTTGTCCTATATCTTTATATATATTTTAATGGTCTTATGCTTTATACGTGTATTTTCACTGGGTCATATCCCGCTTCAAGAAGAGGCCGGTAACAAATAAATATAATTATTGTCATTGCTGTTTACTGTTATTGATACTATTATTCATATGATAATGACGAAAGGGCAGCCCCTCTACCCTTCCAGGATCTGTCAATCATCTATCAAGCTACCTTCCATATCTTATCTAGCCAATCAATCCATCCATCTATATTCCATTTAACTGTCATTTAACTTTCTATCTTCCATATTAATCTATTTTCCATATTGTCCTTCCTCCTTCCTATCGATATATCTATTTTCCAAATGTATGTATGTATGTATGTATCTATCTATCTATCTATCTATCTATCTTGAATATCTATCATTTTCTACCATCTATATTTCTATCTTCCATATCAATCTATTCAATATATTCTATTTTATCTAACTTATCTATTTATCTATGTTACATATCTATTCAGCTATCTTCCATATCTATTTATCTATCTATCTATCTACTTTTCATATCTGTCTTTCTACCTTTCTTTTCATATCCATCTATTCCATAGCTATCTGTCTACCTTTCTATCTTCTTTTTTTCTTTTCTTCCTTCCTTCCTTCCATATGTCTATTTTCCTTGTCTATCTGTCTTCCATATTTATCACATATCTATCACATGTATCTATCTTCCATATCCCTATCTATTTTCCCTATCTGTCTGTCTACCTTTCTTATTTTTTCTTTCTTTCCTTCCTTCCTTCCTTCCTTCCTTCCTTCCTTCCTTCCTTCCTTCCTTCCTTCCTTCCTTCCTTCCTTCCTTCCTTCCTTCCATATGTCTATTTTCCTTGTCTATCTGTCTTCCATAGCTATCACATATCTATCACATGTATCTATCTTCCATATCCCTATTTTCCCTATCTGTCTGTCTACCTTTCTATCTTCAATATCTAGCTTCCATGTCTATCATATTTCTATTCTTTCTCTTCCATATCATCTATTGTATCTATCTACCTCTTCTATCTATCTATCTATCTATCTATCTATCTATCTATCTATCTATCTATCTATCTATCTTCCATATCTATTTATCCAGCTATCTTCTATCTACTTTTCATATATATGTCTTTCTGCCTTTATTTCCATATCAATCAATCCATCTATCTATCCCATATCTATGTCTGGCTTTCTATTTTCTTTCTTTCCTTCCTTCCTTCCTTCTTTCTCTTTCTTGTCTGTCTATCTATCTATCTATCTATCTATCTATCTATCTATCTATCTATCTATTTTCCCTGTCAATCTCCCACGTCTATCAATGTATCTATCTTCCATATCTCTATTTATCTATTTTCCCTATCTGTCTGTCTCTGTCTGCCTTCTTATCTTTGATTATCTATCTATCTTCCATATCTATCTACCTATTACTTATTGTCCATATCTATTTGTATGTCTGTTAATGATCTATCTTCCATTTCTTTCTATCCATCTATCCAGCCTTTCTCCCGATACAAGGACTCAATGCAAGCAACAACAAATATGACAGTGCACGCTAAAACAATGCAAATGCATGAATTACAACATGGCGAAAACAGAAAAACAGTCTGCATCAGGGAGCGTGTTTGCTCCATCTATGTTTAACATTTACACAAACCATCAGCCACTGCCAGAAGGGACAGAGAGTTTCATCTATGCTGACGATTGTGCCATCACTGCTCAAGCAGGGAGCTTTGAAATGGGTTGCTGTGAGTTTTCCAGGCTGCATGTCCATGTTCCAGAAGCATTCTCTCCACATCTATGGTAAGCATCCATATGTGGGTGAAACATCAAGAGATAATGCTTCTGGCACATGGCCATACAGCCTGGAAAACTCACAGCAACCCAGCCTTTGACAACACATTGGGCTTTGAAATGGTTGGAAGGTCTCTGAAGCTTTAGGCGCTCTTACTGCCTATTACAGAAAAAAAAACAGCTGATTCATAATCCATCTAAAATTCAGACATGTGCTTTTCATCTTAAGAACAGAGAAGCATCCCGAGCTCTGAGAATTACCTGGGAAGGAATCCCACTGGAGCATTGCAACACACCCAAATATCTGGGAGTCACTGCGGACCATGTTCTTACAAGAAGCACTGCTTGACTATCAAGCAAAAAGTGGGTGCCAGAAATAATATACGAAAGCTGACTGGCACAACCTGGGGATCACAACCAGATACAGTGAAGACATCTGCCCTTCCACTATGCTACTCTGCTGCTGAGTGTGCATGCCGGTGTGGAACACATCTCACCACGCTAAAACAGTGGATGTGGCTCTTAATTTATTTATTATTTATTTACTTTGCTTATATACCGCTGTATCTCAAGCCCGAAGGCGACTCACAGCGGTTCACAAACAGTAAAAACAGTAGAAACAGCAGTGGTTCCATACAACATATAACAATTGACTTAACACATTATCCATAAAATTACCAATAAGCAATTACAATGCACAATTATTACAAAAAACAACCGTACCCAATCTTCTCATCATCCAAGCGTAGTCCAGGTTCGTCGTCCATTGTTCCATTCCTATGTTCCATTACCAGATTGCACTAAATTACTCAAACGCCTGCACAAACATCCAGGTCTTCACCTTTTTGCGGAATACCATTAGAGATGGTGCTAGTCTAATGTCCGTAGGAAGGGCGTTCCACAGCCGAGGAGCCACCACCGAGAAGGCCCTATCTCTCGTCCCCGCCAGCCGTGCTTGTGAAGCAGGCGGGATCGAGAGCAGGGCCTCCCCGGAAGATCTCAAAGTCCTGGTGGGTTCATAGGCAGAGATGCGGTCAGATAGGTAGCTTGGGCCGGAACCGTTTAGGGCTTTAAAGGCCAACGCCAGCACTTTGAATTCAGCCCGGTAGCAGATCGGTAGCCAGTGGAGTTGGCGCAACAGGGGAGTTGTATGCTCCCTGCGCTCCGCTCCTGTTAAAATCATGGCTGCCGAGCGTTGGACTAGTTGGAGCTTCCGAGCTGTCTTCAAAGGCAACCCCACGTAGAGAGCGTTGCAGTAGTCTAAACGGGATGTAACCAAAGCGGTGGACTAGTTGGAGCTTCCGAGCTGTCTTCAAAGGCAACCCCACGTAGAGAGCGTTGCAGTAGTCTAAACGGGATGTAACCAGAGCGTGGACTACCGTGGCCAAGTCAGACTTCCCAAGGTACGGGCGCAGCTGGCCCGTATGAGACATGCCACATTATCACGGGGTGTCTGCACCCTACACCACTGGAGAAATTACACGGTCTAGCCCAGGGGTCCCCAAACTAAGGCCCGGGGGCCGGATACGGCCCTCCAAGGTCATTTTCCCGGCCCTTGCTCAGGGTCAACCTAAATCTGAAACGACTTAAAAGCCAAACAACAATAACAATTGTATCTCATCAACCAAAAGCAGGCCCACACTTCCCATTGAAATACTAAAAAGTTTATATTTGTTAAAATTGTTCTTCATTTTAATTATTGTATTGTTTTTAAGTTTTTTTGCACTACAAATAAGATATGTGCAGTGTGCATAGGAATTCATTCATGTTTTTTTTTCAAATTATAATCCGGCCCTCCAACAGTTTGAGGGACTGTGACCTGGCCCTCTGTTCAAAAAGTTTGAGGAACCCTGGTGTAGCCGTATCGCACCACCTGACATCCGCCGGGAAGTAGCAGCCAATAGTGAAAGGACCAAGGCAGTGACATCTCCAGCCCATCCCTTGTTTGGGTATCAGCCAGCACGTCAATTACTTAAATCAAGAAATAGTTTTCTAAGATCTACAGAGACACTCGCTGGAACACCTCAGCAAGCGAGAGTCCAAAAGTGGCAGGCTCAAACCCAGAACCTCAATCAATGGCTGATACCAAATGAGAGACTCCCCCTGGGCACACAGAAGACTGGGCGACTTGGAAGGCGCTGAACAGACTGCGCTCTGGCACCACGAGATGCAGAGCCAACCTTCGGAAATGGGGCCACAAAGTGGAGTCCACAACATCCGACTGTGGAAAAAAGCAAACCACAGACTACAACTACAATGCAGTATGAGCCCAGCATAGAATCATAGAATCAAATAGTTGGAAGAGACCTCATGGGCCATCCAGTCCAACCCCCTGCCAAGAAGCAGGAATATTGCATTCAAATCACCCCTGACAGATGGCCATCCAGCCTCTGTTTAAAAGCTTCCAAAGAAGGAGCCTCCACCACACTCCGGGGCAGAGAGTTCCACTGCTGAACGGCTCTCACAGTCAGGAAGTTCTTCCTCGTGTGCAGATGGAATCTCCTCTCTTGTAGTTTGAAGCCATTGTTCCGCGTCCTAGTCTCCAGGGAAGCAGAAAACAAGCTTGCTCCCTCCTCCCTGTGGCTTCCTCTCACATATTTATACATGGCTATCATATCTCCTCTCAGCCTTCTCTTCTTCAGGCTAAACATGCCCAGCTCTTTAAGCCGCTCTTCATAGGGCTTATTCTCCAGACCCTTGATCATTTTAGTCGCCCTCCTCTGGACACATTCCAGCTTGTCAATATCTCTCTTGAATTGTGGTGCCCAGAACTGGACACAATATTCCAGGTGTGGTCTAACCAAAGCAGAATAGAGGGGTAGCATGACTTCCCTAGATCTAGACACTATGCTCCTATTGATGCAGGCCAAAATCCCATTGGCTTTTTTTGCCGCCACATCACATTGTTGGCTCATGGCTCATGTTTAACTTGTTGTCCACGAGGACTCCAAGATCTTTTTCACACGTACTGCTCTCGAGCCAGGCATCCCCCATTCTGTATCTTTGCATTTCGTTTTTCCTGCCAAAGTGGAGTATCTTGCATTTGTACAATGGAGGACCTTCTTACAGCGACACCAGAAGCACTTGACTAATCTATCGAGTCATATGAGGCCTAGACAAACTTGGGCCCTCCAGGTGTTTTGGACTTCGATTCCCACAATTCCTAACTGCCTCAGGACCTTTTCTTTTTCCCCTCAGCCGCTTAAGCAGAAAGAAAGGGGCCTGAGGCTGTTAGGAATGGTGGGAGTTGAAGTCCAAAACACCTGGAGAGCCCAAGTTGGCCCAGGCCTGAGTTATAACCATGCCTCACTCTCTGGAGGTGAGTAAACAGCTTCCCCTGGTGGCCAGCTTCAGGAACTGCAGTAGGGCTGGAAAGAGGCGCCGCAGCGACTTCCGCTTGGCTGCCGTCGCGCTCTAGTGACGTCGCCGAGAGGCGCGGTTGCCTGGGCAGCAGAAGAGGACCCTGTTGTTGTCATTGCCCGAGTTTAGAAGGGTTTAAAATGGGGCAGGAAGAGGCTCAGGAGCCGTCATGGGGGTCCCTCCTTCTGAGGAGGGTGATGCTGTTGCAGGTGGGTCTGTTTTCCTTGGGTACTGATGAAGTTTATGGGGTTTACTAGGTTCTTGTGGGTTTTTTCGGGCTATAGGGCCATGTTCTCGAGGCATTTCTCCTGACGTTTCGCCTGCATCTATGGCAAGCATCCTCAGAGGTAGTGAGGTCTGTTGGAATTAGGACAATGGGTTTATATATCTGTGAAATGGCTGGGGTGGGGCAAAGAGCTCTTCTCTGCTGGAGCTAGGTGTGAATGTTTCAACTGACCACCTTCATTAGCATTTGAAGGCCTGGCTGAGCCTGGGAAAATCTTTTGTTGAGAGGTGTTAACAGCAAAACAGCAGAGAGGAAACAACCAGGCACATCTTAACACCTCTCAACAAAAGATTCCCCCAGGCTCAGCCAGGCCTTCAAATGCTAATGAAGGTGGTCAGTTGAAACATTCACACCTAGCTCCAGCAGAAGAGCTCTTTGCCCCACCCCAGTCATTCCACAGATATATAAACCCATTGTCCTAATTCCAACAGACCTCACTACCTCTGAGGATGCTTGCCATAGATGCAGGCGAAACGTCAGGAGAAATGCCTCGAGAACATGGCCCTATAGCCCGAAAAAAACCACAAGAACCTCGTGATTCCAGCCATGAAAGCCTTTGACAATACATTTATGGGATTTTCTCAGGATTCAAGGGATCCTCAGAGGAGTCTGGGCCTCTCCTTGCCCTAGTAGACAACCTAAAGCGCCAGGGGTCCCTTGGGAGCCCTTCTGGGCCTGGGGAAAGGGGCCTTCCCCACGCACTGCCACTCCCAGCATCCCCATCCAGGTTTAGGGGAATTGCAATCCAGCCAAAGCCCCTTTCCCATTGCACTGGAAGCCCAGACTTGCTTTGTTCTCATCCCCTAGAACAGTGTTTCTCAACCTTCCTAATACCACGACCCCTTAATACAGTTTTTCATGTTGTGGTGACCCCCAACCATAAAATGATTTTCGTTCTAATTCATAACTGTAATTTTGCTACTGTTATGAGTCGTAATGTAAACATCTGATATGCAGGATGTATTTTCATTCACAGGACCAGATTTAGCACAAATGCCCGTATTGCCCAAATTAGAATACTGGTGGCGTTGGGGAGGGGGATTGATCTTGTAGTTGCTGGGATTTATAGTTCACCAACAATCAAAGAGCATTCCAAACTCCACCAACAATGGAATCGAACCAAACTCAGCATACAGAACTCCCACAACCAAGAGAAAATACTGGTTTTGGTGGGCATTGACCTTGAGTTTTGGAGTTGTACTTCACCTACATCCAGGTAGAGCACTGTGGACTCAAACAATGATGGATCTGGACCAAACTTGGCATGGATACTGAATATGGCCAAATGTGAACACTGGTAGAGTTTGGGGAAAATAGACCTTGACATTTTGGAGTTGTAGTTGCTGGGATTTATAGTTCACCTGCAATCAAAGAGCATTCTGAACCCCACCAAGGATAGAATTGGGCCAAACTTCCCACACAGAACCCCCATGTGTTGAAGGGACACACTGGTGTGAGGCTCCCTCCAGCCTTGCACACTCGCCTTCGCCTGCACATGCGCACCACACTGCCAAGCACTGAGCATGCCTGCTCTCCCCTCCCTGTTTGGAGTCTCAGAAACAGTCCTCCCCTTGCCTAAGAGGCTGGCCAATCATAGCGGAAGAGGGCTTTTGGAGGAAGGATTCGCCATCTGTGTCCAAAAAGGAAGAGAAGGACAGACGGAGAGATCTTCAGCCTTCTCTGCCAAAGCGGTTCCTAATACATAAGAAATAGAAGTTTTCCGATGGTCTTTGGCAACCCCTCTGAAACCCCCTTGTGACCCCCCCCCCCCCCCCCGGCATGGGTCCCAACCTCCAGATTGAGAAACACTGCCCTATAGCTTACAGTATTTGGAGGAAAGGAGCCAAGGGCAATCCTTGTGTGTGTGTCTCCCTTCAAGTGGATTAGCGCTGGGGTTTTTTCTTCCTCTTCTTCTTTCTCCTCTTAATAATCATATATTGTATCCCATTTCCCTCCCTTAGCAATGTAGAGAAATGCCTGTAGAGGGAAAATACTATATTTCCCTCAGAATAAGGCTCCCTTATATTAATAAAAATAATTAATATAACACCATTATATTATTGTTTTGCAGCAAACATTAGCATAAGGTTCTCATTTTATGTTTTGTTCCAAAAGAGCTTCTTTTCAGGGGATCCCTCTCTCTCTCGCATGTACAACAGCCTGCATTTTAGGGATTTTAACTGTTAATTTTTAATTAATATATTTTCTGTTTAATTTTTTTAATGTTTGTATATTTTTGGATTTAAAAATGGATTGGAATGCTTTCATCATAAGCCACTTTGAGTCTTCTTTATGGATAGAAAAAGCAGGTATAGATAAGCATAATAATAATTTGTTCATTTATTCATGTACAAACATCTCTTGTCCAAAAGGCGCCTGCTTGGGTGTTTGCAAATACTTAATTATAAGGTATATTATCATTTATTTTAAGTATTCTTCTCAATCATTTCATGTACTTATATTTAATAATATATTAATATTATTATTTTATGCAATACATATGTTTTGCATTGCAATAGACACCATAAATGTGTCCATCTGACTAGCCATCTAAACTGGGGCTTATTTTTGGGGTAGGGCTTATATTATAAACATCAGACCAGGGCTTCTTTTCCGGTTCGGTCTTATTTTGGGGGAAAGGCAGTATTAAATCACCTGCTGACTGTCTCCTGCCCCATAAATTTCCTAGGAAATTTCTAAGGCAAGGAATGTCATCTGAAAGCACCTGGGACCTCTTGATGGTCCCAAGTTTAGGGAAGGGTCTTTTGATCTGTCACTTCCAGAATAATATGTATATAGGCTCCAGAGCCAAGCTGTAATGGAGAAGAAGCCGTTCTTGTGGCTCAAAGGCTGGACTCTTGGGCCTTCCTTCCTTCCTTTGGACAATGATTGATGTTCATATTCCTTTGCTTTCTAGGCTTGTGTCCGGGGTTATCTTGTCAGGAAGAGGTTTCGAGGTTTAAAGCAGGAATATGAGGACATTGTGAAGGAGATCGAAGGGAACCTGGATCGGCTGCATTGGGAGAATCATTCTGTACCAAAGCCTATATTTCTCCCCAAGGTTGGATTGTTGTTATTGTTTATATATTATGATGAATGGTTCAGCTTCCTCTATCCAAGAGCTTCCCAGTGTGCTTTGAATCATACAGAAATATAGGAAGATGGGACAGGCTTCATTAAAAATAGGTAATAGTAATATTACATCTGACAACAAGGGGCTGTCGGTGAGATGTCGGTTTCGAGGTTTAGCATTTAAATGAAATGCTTATAGTATTTTTTGTATTTTAACTTGGTTGTCACGATCCAAATATTTAATTGTTTTTTAATGTTTGAATTTGCCTTGTTTTTGAATTTTAGTGGGTTGTGTCTGTAAAGATCCCTTACCTTTCCAGCCTGGGTGGCAGGGCCTAGGAGAAGCAGGCCAGTTAGTTGCAGCTTTAGGAAGCCTGGCAGAGGGCAGCAGGAGCCATTTTAGTTTAGGGAAAGCACCATTTCAGAGAGGGGGAGTGGCCTAGGCCTGAGTTAGGATTAGAACAGCCAGGATTGGTTTATTAAAGGGGGGCGGAGTTTAGACTGTTTGGAGGGAAAGAATAGGGCTTTTTCAGTCAGTCTGTTGTTGTTGGAGATTAGAGTAGGAAGGTAGTTTAGGAGTTCGTGTTTTAAGATTAGTTTAGGGAAGGCAGTTTGCCTTAGGTTTGCCAGCAAAAGAAGCTGTGGCAAACTGGAACAGTTATCAGGGAAAGATAGCTGGTTTTGTAGTTAGCTAGGCCACAGTTGAGGGTAGCTAAGCTACAGTTGTATCTTGACAGAGATTCAGCTCCTGTCAAGTATACTTGGTTTTGTTTTAAAGAAGAAACTCTCTGTATTAGTAACAAAGAAAGAACATTCACATGTAACCATTACGCTTTAAAGACAAGCCAGAAATTCTCTGTAACCATCAAGCTTTTAACCAGCATCTACTTTCTTCTGTATTTATATCAATAAACTTTCCTTGTTTATTTTGAACTCAAAAAGCCTGAGTCCAGTGTGCCTTTGTGGCTATATTCCTTTTTCCAAACAACCTCACCTGTTTCTTTGAAGAAGATATAATAGGACACAATGTCTGGTGGTCTTAAAAAGCCTTTTTAATATTT